GATCTTAGTTCTTGTTCCTATATCCACCCAGGGATGTCTCAAAAGACATATAAGGATTCCCTTCCTTTTATCTATACTTTAGGCTGCCTGCCTGCTCCCTAAAAATTGTACCTGTACAGCCTTTAAAAAATAAAGTTGATGGGGGCGCCTGGGTGGCTCAGTGGGTTAAGCTTCTGCCTTCAGCTCAGGGCATGATCTCAGGGTCCTGGGATCGAGCCCCGCATCTCTGCTCAGCAGGGAGCCTGCTTCCCCTCTCTCTCTGCCTACTTGTGATCTCTCTCTCTCTCTCTCTGTCAAATAAATAAATAAAAATCTTTAATTGAAAAAAATAAAGTTGATGAAAAGCTTTTGTGTACCAGAGGACACAAATTTGCTTTTGCAAAACATATATCTGATAAAGGATTAATACTCGGGATGTATGATTTAAAAAGCCTCAGAGAACTTGAATAAACATTTCTCCAAAGAAGATGTGGCAAATGGCCAATAAGCATAGGAAGAGACGCTCAGCCCCACTAAGCATTGGGGGAATGCAAATCAAAACCACAGCTGGTTACCACCTCACACCCATCAGGATGGCTATTATCTAAAAACAACAAAACAAAAGGGGGCACCTGGGTGGCTCAGTCGGTTTGGCATCCGTCTCTCGATTTTGACTCAGGCGTGATCTTGCGGTCCTGGGATTGAGCCCTGTGTTGGGCTCCCTGCTCAGCACGGAGTCTGCTTGTCTCCCTCTCCCTCTGTGCCCCACCCCTGCCCCATTTGCTTGCTCTCTCTAAAATAAATAAATCTTTAAAAAATAATAAAAATTGGGGCACCTGGGTGGCTTAGTCGGTTAAGTGGCTGCCTTCGGTTTAGGTCATGATCCCAGGGTCCTAGGATTGAGCCCAGCATCTGGATCCTTGCTCAACAGGAAGCCTGCTTCTCCCTCTCCCTCTGCCTGCCACTCTACCTGCTTGAGCTCTCTCTCTCTCTCTCTCTCTGTGTCAAGTAAATAAATAAAACCTTTAAGGAAAAAATGAAAACTGACACCCAATAGATGTTAGAGAAGATGTGGAGAAATCAGAATCCCAGTGCCCCACTGGTGGGAATGGAAAATGGTGTGGCTGTTGTGGAACACAGCTTGGCAAGTTCCTCAAAAACTTAAATTTAGAATTACCATATGATTCGGCAATTCCCCTTCTAGATATATACCCAAAAGAAATGAAAGCAGGAACTCCTATGGGTACTTGCAGCGTTCTCCACAATAGTCAAAAGATGGAAACAACCCAGATGTCCATCCACAGAGACCCACAACCTGGTGTATATGTACAATGGAATATTATTCAGCCTTTGAAGGAATGCAGTTCAGACACATGCTACAACACGATGAACCTTGAAAGCATCATGCTAAGTGAAACAAGCCAGACACAGGAGGACAAGTAGTGTTTGGCTCTGTGGATAGGGGGTATCCGGAACAGGCAAATTACAAAGAGACAGAAGGCAGATTAGCTGTTACCAGCGATTGGGGGCTGGGGAGAGAGGGGGGGAAGGAGGGGTTCATGTTTAATGCATGCAGAATTTCTGTTTGGGATAATGAAAAAGACGCAGGGATGGATAGTGGTGATGTTTGCACAATAACGTGAATGTCCTCGATGCCACAGAAGTGTACACCTAAAGACAGTTCAAGTGGTCAATGTTGGATCATGTCTGTTTCACCACAGTGGGAAAAAAAACCCCAATGCATAAATTTGATTATATGCTTTTGGATTATAAACAGCAATACTTGTCTGTGCTGGAAAAATGGGGGGAGAAACAGAAAAGAAAAAGTAAAGAAAAAAAAAAAGGCCCGTAATTCCACCACTCAGATTACCTACATTTTTCATGTTTTTCTTTGACTGTATTTACAATCTCCTTGTCAGCACAGATGACAGTCACTTTCGGCCACTTCCTGTAAAGGCGGTTCAGTAACACCTCCCGTTCTTCCCCAGCGAAATCTCAGGGCCTTAAGCAGTACACAAACAGGAAAGATATCAGAAAGGCCTCTCGGTAGAGGAAAGCATCCCTCCGCAGCAGCGCGGTGCCTCCCCGGCTGTGACCACATCATGGGAGCAGCTGCTGGCCAGGCCGCAGGGACCTCGGGTCAGCAGGTCTGGCTGCCGGCCACGGTTTTATGAAAAGCATACAGAAAGGCCTTCAAAGTCCTTGCTCTTTCCTCCTGCTCCACAGTGAGCCCCAGAGCGGCATCATGTTTAGACATCCTTTCAAGGCCTCCTTAGACAAGAAACGGTGAGGGTTCTAGTTTTTGCTCTCAGCCGGGTCTGTCCACTGACCGCCCTCAGGGCCTTGCAAAGGGAGCTCTGGCCTCAGGTTCCCCAGGGATTGGAAGATGCCGAGCTTTTGCCAGAGCCTTCCTCTGCCCATTTGCTTGGTGACCACATTGTAGGCTTGGAAGTGGCTGCTCCCGGGTCATATTTACACAGTAGCAAAGGCCAGCCTTTGACCTGGCCTGAGGCTGCAGCTTCTACCATGCAAAACCAGCGTGTTCCAGAGTTCTAGGAAACTCACCCGCCTAGACGCGGATTGAAGCCTCCGATGGTCACAGGAAAGAGGAAAAGGCCTGGTGGTTTAGCAAGGAGGAGGGGGTGACTGAGATAGAAAGCTTTTAAGCATTTCACTGGGTGCCACTTTGAATTCTGCCAAGAGATTGATTTGGTTTCCCGTGCAAAAATGGCATATTATTTAAATGCAGGATGAAAATGGCATTGGAGAGAACATAGACTTTAAGGGCAAGAATTCTTTCCCTGGGCCCATCCTCTGCCTATAGATTAAAGGAGAGAAGCAATAATCCTGTTTTGCCAGAACTATCTTCTTGGAAAGAATGTAAGCAGTGGCGGGGAAGTAATTACACTGATCCTACCCCTTAAACACAGCAGAAGGCCACATGCAAACAGTGGTGGCCTTTGAAAAGTCACCAGCATTGGAGGCCACACTCCCTCACTGCTCAAAACACAGGGAACGGTTCTCAGAATGAGTTCATGAGTCATGATGATCCCCGGACTTTCCTCTGCAGTCCCACCTAACACGTATTTATTTTCATTGTGGATGTCTTTTTATCATTAGATGAGAGTCCGCATTTTGGCTGTAAGGGAAAACTACTGTTAAAAAAAAAAAACAAACACAAAAACACCTGACTTTGAATGGCTTATTGCATTTCATTAATTCTATAATTACATCCTTGTTGACAGCTGCCTTGTCTCCCCCGCTCACGCCCCCACCCCCAGATGATACAGGTCCTGTCACTTTAAATTTTCCCTCTCCAGGGCGCCTGGGTGGCTCAGTCGGTTAAGCATCTGACTTTTGATTTCCGCTTAGGTCAAGATCTCAGGGTTGTGAGATCGAGCCCCTTGCTGGGCGTGGAGCCTGCTTAAGGTTCTCTCTCTCCCTCTGCCCCCCCATCTCTAAATAAATAAACATAAATAAATAAATAAAGGGTTCCCTCTGTAAGGCTAGAGCTTCACATTGCCTATTGAAATCCCTAGAATTTTTAACACCTTGTGTGAGAAATTCAGATAAGGATTTACCTCTGACTTTTGGGGTTGTATGTTGTGCACAGAGCAGGTGCCCAGTAAATGGTTTATGGGTGGCTATGTCTTGGAAATCAGTGGGATTTTTGGACCCTAATTCCCAATTCTCTATACTCTGGGCTTTCTCTTATGTGATTTGGAAAACTGTAGCTATCAGAAATCAAGAGGAGTAGAATTCCAATTTGGAAGGAGAAAAATACAGCAAAGAGGTAGGGGCATCAAAATAGTGACGGTGGCCGTCTGTGGATGGTGGGATTCCAAGTGGCTCTCATTTTCTGTTTTATATTTTTGGATGGAAAATTCTTCAGTGAACATGCGTTGCTTTATAATGACATAAACCAACAAGTCTTCTATAAAACGGAGGCAGCCTTTCTTGGGTTACACACTCCTTTGAGATTCTGGAAAACCCTTGGAGCCTTTTCCTAGAAAAAAAAGTATCTACACCGTTTTCCGTAGAATTTTAGAGTTTCCCCATGCCGTCCAGGGATCACGTAAGACCCCAGATTAGGAGCCCGTGTAGGAAAGGAGAACGTGGCACCCAAGTAGGCATTGTGTGCCAAATAAATGTGATATTCCCACATCAGTGTGGGGACATCTGCTTCCGTCCTAGAGCCCTTGCATCGGGCCATGCAAATCAATCCAGACGCTGCTGTGTGAGCAAGGGGATTTTCCCTTCGCGAAACCTCAAGTGTCCTGCCTGTCCTTGTAGAGGTCACAGGGAACTCACAGAAAGCCTTGAGGGTGGGGCTGAGTAGGATCTGTATCCTTATAAATGAACCCCCGCACTAAGCTCCCAGTCAGGATTTTCTCCAGCAGCAGCAAAGAAAAAGAGGCAGGGCGTCTGATCCGGGGCTGGGGAGTGGCCCCGGACATTTTCTTCTGAATGATCAGGGGGTTAGTGAGGGGGCTGTTGGCCGTGGGGTCCAGGCTGAATTGAAAATGAAACCAAGGCAGGAATGCGCCATTGTATTGAGAGGGTGGGCCAGGGTTATGCTAGCTTAGCTGAAGAATGTACTGGGGAGGAAGGTCGAGAGGATGTTTGCTGGGAAGGACCTAGTGTCGTCATTATGATGGTGGTTCTGCCACCTGCTGTAGGTGGAGGTCTGTGGAGACGAGGCTGGTCTAAGGCTAAAGGCTCCCTGGCAGCATTTGCACGGGCTGAGGGCTGGCAGTGCCGAATGGGGGGCACTTGGTTAAGAGGGTGGGGGAGTGCTTCTTGCTAGGGCTTCTGGGCACGTGTGACAGGGCACATGTGCACTTTGGATTCGTTTTGGGGCGGGGTGGGGGGAGAAGCCTGAAAATCCACCTGCCCATGGGCACACTCAGCTCCCAGAGTAATGAATTGGAGCTCGCAGGCAGGAGGGACGGCGAGAGAGAGACAGAGATCGTTTAGGATGAAGTTCAGCAGTGGGGACACTGTCACCAGCACAAATGGCCTTTGACTTGAGTCATCATCGACTTCCAGGTTTAATTTTCGAATGCCTAACCAAAACGATGTTCTCCCTCCGGACTCCGTGTTTCTTTGGGTGGGTGTGTCTGGTTTTGGGAAAGTGCCCCCCTCCACGATGCTGTGAATTGACCAAAAGAGAAAGTCCAGAGGGATGATTCACGGTGTTTAAGTGTTCGGTAGCGGGACTCCTTTGGACAGCAGCTGAGACGCGTGTGTATTTCAGTGAGTGCTTTGCGGATTTCGGTCATCATCTGCAACCTGTGGAAGAGGCAGAAAACCTTAAGGCAGAGGGTCTGAGAGATGGGGCCAGCGGATTTGTGGTTTGCTCCTTGAACCATTCAAGACAGACTTGACACAGCCGTTAAGACAAAGACTAAAGGGCGCCTGGGTGGCTCGGTTGGTTAAGCAACTGCCTTCGGCTCAGGTCATAATCCTGGAGTGCCAGGATCGAGTCGGGCATCCGGCTCCCAGCTCCACGGGGAGTCTGCTTCTCCCTCTGACCTCTCCCCTCTCATGCTCTCGCTCTCACTCTCTCTCAAATAAATAAATAAAATCTTAAAAAAAAAAGACAAAGACTAAACACAGAGCTTTAATTCTAGTGGGAAGAGAGACAGAAGCAGAAGGGGACAGGAACTGCCACTTAGTGCCTTGAGATGGGACTACTGGGGAAGGAAGTACAGGTGTTAGCCGTGGGTTTGAGGAGGTTGGAGGGCCTGGGTAGCTCCAGGTAGGAGGGAGCGGCCATCCGTGCCTAGAGAGATGGGCAGCTTCATGGAGTCAGGGTTTAGGGTTGGGAGGAAAACTCGCAGAGGGCAAGGGTTAGCAGAGCTGGGGTAATAGGACCCTATTGGGACCCTCGCCCACCCTGGCTGGGGGCTGGGTGTGGAGGCCAGATCTTAGAAGCCTCACTGCTAAACAGTTTGACCACTTGCTAAACAGCAGACTAGGTGAGCCTTTGTAGGCCTTTAAACAAAGAAATACTGCAATCCAACTTAAATTTCATCTGAAGTTGAACTGTTTTGGATCCGATTAGCCATTGCAAAGATGTTGGAAACAAACTGAGTGCAGACTGGCAGCTGATTTTTTTCCCCCAAAATGAAATGTTCAGGCTGATTTCATCTTTGTCACAAGAGGAAGACGTTAAGTATTGCTCTCTCTTTTTAAAAGAAGGTCTCTTCGCATAAACAGAACCCTCAGTTTTATTTTTCCTCCGTAGTTTTGTACGCAACTCTAACGAGTAGTTTTCCATAATTCAGTGTATTGCTCCTGGAAAATGTAGACAATGGGGCAAATTTTCAGCCTATGCTGTCATTTTATGGATTAATTTCCATTAGCGCTGACCTTCTGGCTTTCAGCGCATAAATATGAGTAAAACATCTGTTCGTGTCATTCCCCTGCTTCAGAGCCTCTGCTGGCTCCCCCTCACCTACACCAGGAAACAGTCCAACTCATTGCCTTTGTGCACGTGCCTTTCCAGCTCATCTCTGCCATCTCTCCCCATTCTGTCGGTCCCCCGACTCACCGAACCCAGGCTTTTATTCCTCTGTGCCTTTACTTACCCCCTCTCCTTTGCCTGTAGCGCCTGTATTCGTCTTGTCTGCCATGGGCATTTTTATTCAGGGCTGGAGGCTGAGCACCCACACCGCCTCCTCTCTGAGCTCCCCTCCCCAGTGGAACTCATCTCTCCCTTACCTGGATCCCCACAGCACCCTGTGGCACCCATCCTAGCCCTTACCTCATCATATTTTAGGGGTCTCTCTTGCCGCCAAGCCCATGAGTTCCTGAAGGACAGGGCCGCCATCTTGCCGGTCTCTGTTTTCTGATTTGTAGCCCGCTGTGTCTCTTGTATTTCTGTTTAGAAGAGTTCCAGAAGAGAGACACCTGGGTGGCTCAGTCGGTTGGGTGTCCGCCTTTGGCTCAGGTCATGATCTCGGGGTCCTGGGGTCGAGTCCCGCGTTGGGCTCTCTGCTCAGCAGGGAGCCTGCTTCTCCCTCTGCCTGCCGCTCACCATGCTTGTGCTCCGTCTCTCTGACAAATAAACACAATCTTAAAAAAAAAAAAAAAAAAAAAGAGTTCCAGACGAGCCCTCAGGGAAGGATGGGGCCGGAAGCCTCACTTTTGTAACAGGACAGTCAGTGGAATCTACCCATTCTAGTGAGGAGCTGCTTGGTGCTTGTGTTCTGGGAGCTCATCTCTTGGTAAATACTGGAGGGATTTTTTAGGTATAAAGAAGTGAAACCGGACATGTTATTTTTTCCTCTTTTAGCTTTCTTTTTATTTTTTTTTAAAGTAGGCTCCACGCCCCACATGGGGCTTGAACTCACACCCCCGAGATCAAGAGCCTCTTGTTCTACTGACTGAGCCAGCCAGGCGCCCCTCTCTTTTAGCTTTCTTAATGACTTGGTTGAGATATAATTCACATACCATACAACTCACCATTAGAGTGTGTATTTCAGGGTAGGGGGTCAGGCAAAAATGGGTGAAGGGGGGTGGGAGATAACAAGCTTCCAGTAATGGGAGTCACAGGATGAAATGGCACAATATAGGGAATGTAGTCAAAGATATTGTCGTAGCATTGTATGGTGACAGATGGGAGCTATGCCTGTAGTGAGCAGAACATAATGTATAAACTTTGTCAAATCACTATGTTGTACACCTGAAGCTAACATAACATTGTGTGTCAACTACCCAAAAAAAGGACAAAAAAGGAAAAGAACTATTAATAAACGAATTTTTAAAAAATGTAAACGCCCCACAATGGGTGAATAATTACACGAGTGCGGCAGTGAATACCCAGGACTGAATATTTTGTGGTTATGAAAATTATATTTTTCAGTAATTTTAAGAAATGTGGAAAATGCCCAGGCAATGGTGTTATGTGAAAATGTGGGACACAAATTTTACACGAAATAACTCTCCCATGCATATGACGGTGCACAACTATTTATAATACGCATAGGAAAAAACACCAACAAAATTACAAAAGATAGCAGCAGTGGCAAAAAAAAAGTGTATGTTTCCAAGGCCATTGGTTTATTCACAGATATGTGCAACTGTTATCGCAATCAGTTCTAGAATTTTTTTTTATTCCCTCAAGGTCATTTACTTAAGACCTTCAGGAAACCTTTCCTAGAGGTCAACCCCTGTGATTCTTACTGTAAATGATATCTCTGGGGACAGAGTGTGTGTCATAGGGAGGGAATTGGTTTAGAGAAAGAAGCAAAGATTATGGATAGGGAAGGCAGGTGTTTGTTTGTTTGTTTTAGAGGAAGATGTGTAAGAGAGCTTGGAAAGCCAAGGGATATTTACCCAAGGGATGCTGGTGTTGGCCTAACACCCTTTCCCAGGAGTTGAGAGCCCAAGCATTAGGAGCTGTACGGATTACACTCGGCTAAAGCAACATGGGAGTGATTGTAGACCGCACACTGAGGACAGTGTGCCTGGTAGGGCTTTGGGAATCATCTGTAGACTCCTTCCTCACCTCCCTAAAAGACAGAACATAGCTAAGGAAGGTGCCCCTGTTTTATCCAAGCAAGTAGATAGAATAAACATGAATCGGGTTGCCATATACTGGAATATTACGCCAAGCAATGAGGTGTCTCCTGACTTTTTAAAGATGTAAACCTTCAGAAAAATCAAAGGAGCTATCATTTCGTTTACTTGAAATAGCTTTTAGAATATATTCTCTCATGAAGTGGTACAGATGGAAAATACTGGTAGGTTCAAGAAGGCAGAGAGAATTTCAGTTAGCAGATAGATCCAATAGGACCGATTGTGAAAAATGAAAATATTTGGAGGAAGATGCACTTTTGCCCCTTTTCAAGGTTGATTTTCAGAATGAGGGTCTCCCGGTTTTCCTTACTTCATTGTCAGGAGCAAATTAATGGACTGGGTAGACTAATGGCCGGGTCCAGAGTCAAAAGTGTCGTGTGGCTGCTTTATAGATTCCAGAGATTTTGTAATGAAATAGGCTTGCATTGCTGTGTTAAATGACACAAACGGGACCTTTTTTTTTTTTTTTTAGGTTTTCTGTATTTTTAGAGAGCGAGGGAGTGAACACACACATGGAGCAGGGGGAGGGGCAGAGGGAGAGAACATCTCAAGCAGACTCCCTACTAAGTGTGGAGCCCTCAGGGGGCTCGATTTCAGGACCCTGAGATCATGACCTGAGCAGAAACCAGGAGTCCGACACTTAACTGACTCTGCCACCCAGGTGCCCCTGTATATATTATTTTTAAGTTTGTGTATTTTTATTGAATATTATATTATTTGATGGGCACAGAATGAGGATAGTCTAATTTCTCCTTGCATTAATGATTTTTTTTGCAATAATTTGGTATCTATGTGGACTCATTAAACTCTTTCATTTGTTGGAAAGCTGCTGTGTACAATGAAGGCACATTTTTTTCCTTTGTGTCAGCAGTAGTTTGCTAAAGAACAAAAACAAAATATTCTTCTGGTTTTAAAAAGGTACTTTGCCATTCTGTTAATTTATTCAAGCCTTTCTCTTCATTTTTACCCTTTTCTGTCTTCTCTTTGAGTCATTTACATGCTTATTAGCACAAAGAGAACACAAAAAGTCAGGAGTGATTGAATGCAGATCAATTTTCCCAACTGTCAGCCAGCCAGTTGAGTCAAGTTATAATTACGGGATAAGATAAAATGAAGGGGGGGATGGAGTGCAATAAAGTTCTGTTTATTCATTTGCAAATAATCTAGATGATTTGCATAATAGTTGAGTTGGCTGTAATGAAAAACACTTGTTAACGAAGTGAACTAATCATAGTATATATACAGACCTGTTTATTTTGTCATTGAAAAAATATATAAATTCTTCGTAGGTTTTAAAAAAAATAGTTCCTGAGTTTACATGAATAGCTAAATAGACTTGGAAAAGGGAAGGACGTTGACATTTAAAAAGGTTTCCTCCCTGGGGCGCCTGGCTGGCTCAGGGCGTAGAGCACGTGGTACCTGATCTCCGGTTGTAAGTTCGAGCCCTGTGTTGGATGTCGAGTTTACTTAAACATCAAGTCTTTAAAAAAGTACAAAAAAATTAAATGGTTTCCTCCCTAGACACAAACTCTAAAGAGGAGAGAAAATGAATTTATTCTAAAGAGGAGAGAAAAAAAATTTATTTTTCCTCAGTGTTTTCTGTGTTGGATTTAAATACCTTTAAAATCTCACTTACTAGCAAGTTGTTCCTAAATTTAAAGCTGAGATCCGAAAATTCATCCTGAAAGTGGTAGCTTTCCTCGTGTGCTGCCATTTTGGCTTGGAAGGCATACCGTCAGATCAGTCTCTTTGTATTATTCAGCTGGTTATCCCTTGCCCGAACCACAGAAACTTCTCGCTTTGTAGTTCTCACGGCTCTCTCCTAGGTTCTGTGGGGGATACTCGGATGAATTAGATATGGTCCCTTGACAGTGTCTTACTGTTGTTGTTCTTGGTTGTTGTTGTTGTTTTTTTTTTTTTGTAATTTGATTCTTATTCACTTGAAGTTGAACCTGCCAACTCCTTTCCCCAAAGTAAAAGACCTGAGGTACTAATTCCTCCTCCGAAATTGGAAGCAACAGCTCAGAAATGCAAAACTCCTTATCCAGTTACATTGCCAGTCATGCTCAGCATCATCCGGGCAATGAGAAGGCAAGATCTCACTTTGGTAAAAGTGATAGCATAGTTCGAGTAAGATTTAGCAAATCCTAAAATGCAAAGTCTGTCCGAGGAAGGGAAATGTGGTGGGGAAATGTCTTGTGTTTGTTAAGTTCAGTGCACATTGGTTCATGTGTGTCATGGTTAAGACTGGTTCTGGGGGCGCCTGGGTGGCTCAGTCGGTTAAGTGTCTGCCTCTGACTCAGGTTGTGATCCCAGGATTCTGGGATGGAGCCCAACATGGGCTCCCTGCTAAGCAGGGAACCTGCTTCTCCCTCTTCCTCTCCCTCTCCCCCTGTGTGTGCTCTCTCTCTCTCTCTCTGTCAAATAGGTAAATAAATAAAATCTTAAAAAAAAAAAAAAAGACTGGTTTTGGGGTCCATTGGATAATAGGTTTGAATCCTGTTTCACTACTGTGTGACATGGGACCTACCTGAGCCCCAATTCCCTCATCTGTAAAATGGGCATCCTTAAAGACCCTCCCCTTGGCAGGGTTTTGGAGAGAATCCAGTGAGATAACAAGATATAAAAGGTTGAACTTGGGGGCGCCTGGGTGGCTCAGTGGGTTAGGCCGCTGCCTTCGGCTCGGGTCATGATCTCAGGGTCCTGGCATCGAGCCCCACATCGGGCTCTCTGCTCAGCGGGGAGCCTGCTTCCCCCTCTCTCTCTGCCTGCCTCTCTGTCTACTTGTGATCTCTGTCTGTCAAATAAATAAATAAAATCTTTAAAA